GACCCCTGCATAAAGGAGCAGCCAAAAGGACACTAAAAAGCTTAATAAGTGAATTTTACATAAATATTAAAGAGCACAAGAAGGCTCCCTGTTAAAATGCATACACCTAATGCAAGAAGAAACTTGGTATCAAAATAGTGATGATTGCAGTAGCTCCATCAGGTAACATTATTTCGTACTGGAATAATAGAAACAATGGATGGTAAAAAAAAAAAAAAAGAAATAAAAAAAGAAAAGAAAGGCAGAGTTAAACTGTTTTTTTTCTCTGTTCTTATTCTCACACACCAACACACACCCAAAACCTCCGAAACTGAGGTGCTAAAGGATTTGTATGTTTAACATATTCTTGTTTCAAAATATTGAATCACCTCATGGCTTGGATATTCTCAAAGCAGGAACACACACACACACACACACTCACTCTCATGATTCAACATTGCACCAAGCACCTTTGTGCTCCCGCTAGCCTGGAAATCCTCACATTCTGCAGTGTGTGAAACAATGCAACAATATGGGCACATACAGGGGCAGTTTTTGAGCAATGTTAGGACTGAGGATGTCCACAGTTGGTCGTTCATAAATGATTCAGATAGCTACAACGTGCACTTACTGAGACCTGCTATCAACACAAGAAATCTACTAAAAGGGGAGCTGGATGAAGCATGCAGGATTAAGACTGCAATGCAATAAGACAGAAGGAGAAATTTATTGTTTCATATGATGATTATAAATGTTTTGGCCTTCATGAATATGTACCTAGATAACAGAGTCAGTAAAATACTGAAAAATACAAATTGAAAAAAGCAAAATAAGAGCAGATTTCCTTATACAACATTATTTTTTAAGAATTATGGGATCAAGGAGGCAGTAAAGCACCTGGTAGACACACTCTGTGAAATGACAATCAATGAGCATGGTTCACAACAAAAGCAATTATCTAAAATATATGTTGTATGCTGTTAAACTTTAGGAGCAAATGTGTGGTATGGTGTAGTAGCGAGTGTTTAGAAGGAGCCTTTATGAATAAAATGGGAGTGCTGAGGTTTTTCAAATTTTGGTTGGATTTAAATGTAGATTATTGTATGCAACAAAATTAGTCTACATGTTAGAATCCAATATAACTCAGAAATACATACAGGCAAACTTTTCAGGTTTCTGGGAATTTATTCTGACTATAAACAGAGCTATAAACAGAGTCGAAGAGCTAATCAAAAAAATAAAATCCATGAACTGAGACACAGAGCTTTATGCCCTTTAATGATCTCAACTCTAAGCGTTGAGTGCGAGATGAAGCACGGAGCGCATGGAGAGAGAATCAGGACCATTATTATTATGTTGCCAGATTTGAAACATGTTCTAATGACATGCTCTCTCCTCAACTTGACATTTTGCTCAAGAACCAAAAGTTAGCTGAGAGGGGGCAAACCAACTGACTCTTATAGCCAACACTAAGCTTTGGAACCCTTCTGTGCTGTTTTTTCCCCCCAACAATGGAGCTATAATGCAATACACGTCTGCTCTTTTTGATCATTTTGTGTTTTTTTATTTTATTTTAGTGCTTATTACCTTTTGAGAACATATTCTACCCATTGTTTTCTAACATGTATGCTTTCCTTAAAAAGAAAAAAGAAACACCTTGCAGTCAATTTTAAACCCTCTCTGCTTACACAACAACATTGTTTGACCATATAATGAGTATTTCCTGAATGGTATCAGTCTGTGTTTTGTATTATATTGTTTGTGTTTTGAGGTAAAAACAATTTCTTTCGCCTTTAACCATAAACAATATTGTCTTTAACTTTTGAATTTAACAAAACATAGACTAAACATAAAAAAAAAAAAAATTTAAAGCAAAAATACATTTTCTATGAAAACACATGTTTTAACAGTATTGAGAATTTGGCTTGAGAAATGGAGCACACATGGTTTTGAGATGATTTGATGAGATTCTCTATAAATGGATTTCTACAATCAGTTCCACTATCATTCAACCTTGGAGAACTTTAGAAAATATTCCAAGAAGGTAAGTTCTGTATTTGCTTGATCCCAGAGGGCCTGGTATTACTTGAAATTTTATTAGACACTTTGAAATAGGTGTTTGTCGCGTTATACGAAACTATAATATATTGTTCCCAACAAGCACCCTTTTTTTATGTTAGGTGTAAATTAATTGCTATCATAAAGGGGGCAACTGCCCTGGTTGACTTTGTTGAGTTTTACTCTTCAGGCAATAATTGCCTGACATGAAATATTTCCTTGTTTGTCCATGAAATCTTCAGATTTAAAGCAAAATCCCAGAGATACTTCCTATAAGATATTAAATGCTCACAATGTTTCAACAGAACCTAGTTTTGAAATAAATCCATAAAAATCGCTTTAAGAATTTATTGTTGACTTAACAGATAGCTCTGGAAAAAGCTGTAGTTAGCAAAAAAAAAGATCAATATTAGATCAAATGAAAGAGATGTTAAAGGGAATTTAGTGGCAGGCAGTAAACACGTTTAAATGGAAGGATGTATAAACTTCTGGCAGGGGTCCTGAAACATTTCACATTGGTTCTGCCTGACTGTAAATGTCATGATCTTGGCACTGATGACTGGCTTTATTACTCATTCCATTCACCTGTCTAATTCTGCCCGGTTTCTCATCACTGCTCATCTGATCCACCTGCTCCTGTCTCCCTTTAAGGTGCTTGCATCCAGTCATCCATGCCAGATTATTCTTGTTCTCTCATGCGAGTGATGAGAGGGTTTTTAGAGTACCTAAGTGTTTCTGATTTCCTGATCCTGACCTGTTCTGCCTCTCAACCACTGAGCATGCCTGTTTCTGTTCTGATCTTTTGCCTGACCTGGCATCAAACTCCTCAGTGTATTCTCATTATCAGTTCGTACGAAATCGTACGAAAAGTTATGCACCGTAATTTCGTACATTTTGGACGTTTTTTTCGTTGTATTTCGTAGTATTTTTACGTCTTGCCTCGAGACAAGATATCCTTGCGCATGCGCATCTTACGCACTATTCAATAACATAGAATTTAACATACAATTAACCCTAACCCTGACGCTAACCCTAACCCTAAGATACAAAACAGCAAGCAACCTATTGAGAGACATGAAGAAGTAATTATTGCAGTGTTTTTCGCAGTTTTACGTCCGTCCGCGGATCTGCTTTTTTCGTCTGTCTGGCTGCGCATGCGCACTGATCTGTTTTTTCGAGGAAAAACGTCCAAAACGTACGAAATACTGTGCATAACTTTTTGTAGGATTTCATACGAACTGATAATGAGAATATGTTGAACTCCTGGATCTCTGAGGCTGCCTGTTCCTGCTCTGATCTGTCTTGCCCTGAATACTGGATCCTTCTGTTCTGAGCAGTGACAGTAAATGATATCATAATGTAAACTGCAGTGAACTCTTCCCCTTAGCATGTATGTTGAGATGTTGAATAATTTACATCTGTCAAGAGCTAAAAACAATGTTTTTTTTTTTTTTTTAGGTGCACCAAAAATTCAGTTTCTGTGGAAAGTAGAATATTACATTAGATCAGTATAATGAGTTCTATTGAAGAACTGCTTTGTTATGGCCATGGTATAGCCTACACAATGATGAAGCCAGCTGCTGACTTGTCATAGTTAATATAAATTTAATTGACTGCTGCCTGTTCAGAGTGATGCAAGCTTAATGTGAAGTGGTATCAAAAAATGCACTAAATAAAGCGCTTAAATAGCGAAATGGTTAGCAGAAGTACTTAGACGCTTTTGAATCCACGCTAAATTAAGAGTTTGGGAAATGTCAAAAAGATGTTGTCTGTGACTGAAGTCAGTATTCAGAAGCCATCATACAAACACAAGATATAAACTTACAACCTCTCCATGCCTTGTGTTAGGGAAGTGTAGAACGCCTTCATCTATTTAACCAGGAACCATGTCAGAAGTGTTTGAACTGCTATGAAAAAAAAAGAAAACAACTGGAATGTGCTAAGTAGTTTACACTTAGCACTGACTTGAAGACCCATGTCGAGCTGGTGTTGGTCCAGTGCTTTTTATTAAGTTCAAAATCTGTGAAGCTATCTACCGGGACCATTTTTAAAGCCTTTGGGGAGCTGAATTCTAGTTTAGTCAGACATTTCTTTTTCTGTCACTGCCAAAAGTACAGATGTGGTTTAATGACCATACTATCCATTTCCTTGATTGACTAGAAAACTGCCCAGATAAATAAAATCCATAGATTATTTTCAACAGATTAGTTGAGAGACGCCAGATCCAACAACCTTCAGGCTATCAATGGAAGCAGGGTTTCCTTAACAGTTCAGCAGAGACGCAGACTGATCCCCTCCCTGCCACACCACCGAAGCAGTAATCCATGTACTTGACCAAGTATTGACTGCAAATGCTGTACAGTAAATGGAAATCCTCTTCATAATGCTGAATTAGGAAATACCCTCCTAATTAAAATTAGCTGTAACCCATAATCATCTAAATTAGCAGAACTGATTTTTTTCATATCATAAAAGCAGAGGGAAAAAAAATCATCAAACTGAACTAATTAAATAAATATACTTTAGAGGATATTGAAATTAATGAATAAAAAAAAACACCTGCTCTTTTTCCTGTGGTTTGTAAGTTTAAGCCCAAATGCCAATCAAGTTTAATAAAGGCTTCACTGTAGAAGTGTGTTAGTGATTGGGTGTATTTGCATTTCTTTTTTTCTCAGTGTTATAATTTGTCTTTAAAGAATCATTGATGTGCAGTATGCATCTCTAGCCACCTCCTGTATGCAGCATCCTCAGTGGATATTTAGTTCACCTTTACATTCATTGGTTGTAACACCAAACCTTTAAATACAAGAGACCAATGTACTGTAAATTTTCTGCTCCTGTATCAGAGAGCAAAGCCCACCGCATTAAACTGTATTACACTACGCAGAGGTCTTTGCATCCTCTCTCTCTCTGACTCTCTTACTCTGTTGAATCCCTCTCTCAGTCATCCTCTCCCGTCGTGGTGCTGAGGCTGCGACGTTGCTTAGAGAGAAAGAGAGAGAAAAAATCTCTCCATTTGCTACAGCCTGTGGACGCACCATCTGAATGGGAAATAAGTGAAGGTAATTGTTTTACTTCCATTTAGCAACAATTGGTTCATTTGTAGTTTTCTCTTAATTACAGGCATGCTCTGATAAATCATATGCAGCGGATGTAAAAGCGACGGCGGGGCGAGAACGCACCTGCCCTGACAGACTCCAATTGGTGCAACAGAATCTCACTGAGCTCATTTTACGAGGCTTTTTTAAAAAGCATGCTTTTCATTTATTCATTTACATTATTTTCCACTGCTGGCGCGTTTATTTTTTGGGAAAGCTTTCAGACTAAGATTTCTTTTTTTCTTTTTAAAGAATGCGTTTTTTTTTTTTTTTTTCTGGGGTTAAAGCGCTCTGCAGAAGTGATTCAATCTGTGTCATTGATTGAAAGTGTCACATGAAGCCAGGCTGGATTGTGCAGAGATAGGACGGCCGGCCAGAATACGCGCCATGGACAGATGTGCGTTAGAGAGGATTTAGTATCGAGGGAGGAATCACGCAGGGGATAAAGCTGGTGATGCATGCGCGCCCCTGTGTGTTTGTGTGTGCGTGAATCAGTGTGTTCTTGCTTTTCTTTCTGGGTTAAACGGTTGGTTTCCCATCAGTGTTGACTACTCACCCACACCACAGAAAAGCGGCTCACTTCACCTGCAGTGAGGGCTTAGGTGGCAGTCACCTTTAGTTCTCCAGCATGCATGAGTTACTGAATGTGTGGCTATTATTATGAGTGTGTCTGAATGTGTGTGAGTGTAAGAGAGGAAGATCAAATGTAAGTAGCAGCAACAGTGTCCAACTACTGACCGATGGACCACACAGATTTATACGCCCACATGCTGTGGACAGCCAGGCACGAGAATATGCGTAGCAACAGAGACAAGATACTTGGAAATCCACTATCTGGATCTTTATGGGTAGAGGAATCCCTCAGCATCACTCATCTCATCACAAGTTTGGGTCCTAAAATGCAGAGGGTGGTGGACAGAGCTGTGCTGATCAGATTGGGGTTTCAGAGGTCATTGGAGCTACATGTGGAGATTAAAATGCTTCAAGTACATGGGCTGCAACACTTGAATAATACACAGAAATGTCAAACATGATCTCACATATTTTACTGATAGAGGGAAGCATATTCCAATTGCTTTAAAAAAACAACAACACATATTTGAATTGTTTCAGTAATAATGTCGGTATGACATGTACATTTACTTTTTACATTTTCCCCAAAGACTGGAGAGCTAAATGAAGTTGTGAAAAATGTTATTTGGTGGGATAATCAAGTCAGGTAACTTAAATTGTAAGAACTTCATCACAATGAGATTAAAAAAGTTGTTCTAGATAGTGATGGCTGTGGGCAAGAAGGGTCTCCTGTATAGCAGTCATATTACAGTGGCTATAAATTAGACCTCTGACTAGAAACACTGTAGTATGTCTCATTAAAAGGATACTCTGGGTCATCAGTATATTTTATGAAGGATCTTAAATTTGCATGATTATCTGTTGAGGTTTCCAGCAGTTTCCAGAACAGTGAGCCATCGTTTTACACAAAGGTGTTTTATATGTGGAATTTAGGTTTTCCTTAGAGTATATGTGTCTCTGGAATTCCTTGATGTCCTGCCGTATGGGGATGCTTCTTTGTGGTATGACCCTTATCTTTGATTGCTGCTGACCATGTGGTACCTCCTTGTGTCACTTGGGCTTTATTTTCAACGATCTCCTGATCTTTGTGTTCTCTTGCACTCTATCTCCTGCATGGATAGGGTGCTTATCAAAACGTAAAGATGGTTTAGGCATGGAAAAGGGACTCAAAAAGAAAAAAAACTTAACTTGTCAACTTAAGACTCCAAATTCCCTAGATCTCACTTCATCCCCCCATCACAGTTTATTGGATATAAAGCATCTGCTGCTAACATATTGCTGTCAGATACCACAGCCCATTTTCTGGGGTCTAGGGAAGTCCCTTCCTCAATAGGCCACTGTGTCTTTTTTGTTTGTTTTTTCAGAAAATGGGGAACAACATACTATTATGGGTTTAATTATAATGGTATGCTTTTTCTCTTATATTACAAACATCTTTCCAATTCATTTGCATTTAATAGCCTATCTTGGATTTCTAATATGAAAAAGAAATAATAAAATAATTTTAAATAAATCCATACATTTATACCTGTCACTGACAAGAGTATATACGATCAAACAGACACACAGCAGGACAAAGAACAAGGACATTTACAGAGTTTTTAGATAGAGAAAAACCTTTCAGAATGACCTGCTCTGAGTTAAGGTTGGCATTTGCTCTAATCCAGAAGTTTGTTAGAATAATGAGAGGACTTTGGCAAACTAACTTGCTCTTAAGGGAAACGTTAATGCTCTGTGACATAAACAAAATTAATATTGCCATTGAAACCATTTCTATAACTTTTGTCCTGCAGGAATAGCTCAACAAATGCAGTTTTTGGAATAGCTCACCTTAAGAGGAGTGACACGGTTGTTCTATGTCATAACTCACCACGCAACTAAACTTCGTTGTCCTTTAAGCAAGATAAAGGAAAGCTCTGGTCTGGTGACTGAGTTGTTTTTCGTGCCTTCTCCCTTAATGCATGAATTTGTTTACCTTGCAAGCAAGATGAATTGTCTTTTGAATTCACAAACTCCCGAAAATACATCTAGCCAGAAGCCAACGGATGCATTCCTTATCCTCGCATACAGATATGTTTCGAACATGTAAAATGCAATGACATGTATGACATCTACCAGAAGCTACAGGTTGAAGCAAAACAAAGTTGGCTGTGAAGCTTGGCACCAGGGGATGTACTTGAAGACGCCGCTGTTCAATCTTTGTTAGCTGGAATACCTCTCTATTTCTCTTTTGAATAAACGAGCAAAAAGACACAATTTGTGCCTTTGTGGATGGAAAAGATGTTTTCCTGTCCCTCCCATACAGATTTAACTCTGTTAACTGCGAAACACCTCAAGAATGTGATACATCGCAGCTGCTACTGCTGCTGTGATTGGCCAAAAGCCTTACACATTTACCCAATCAGCTCGAATAATTGTACTGAATGTTCCTCCCTTTTGCAAACATTTTCCTTTTTACTATTATATTTTTGGATGCTAATGGTCTTTCATTATATTATTTTTGAAAGTAGGCAGACAGGAAATATGATTAGAGAGAGGGGGTAGACATGCGGCAAAGGTCAACTGGCTGAGACTCAAACCTGTGACGGCCGTGTGAACCTGTGAAAGCCTCTGGACATGCTGGTCGCATGCTTAACCCCTGCACCACTGCTGCCCACATGTTTTGAATTTGTATCCAACTGTACAAGAAAATTTAAAACAACCTAATTTGTGTTTTGGCTGCCAGTCAGATGCAAAATTACTTAGAAATTAATAATCTAAAAATTGCCCATACATCCGAGGTGATGCTAATTATTATTGATGCTGGTTTTTGGTTTCTAACGATAGTTAGAAATTTTGTCAAATTATGTTCTTGAACTGTTAAGTCATCTTAGTGCTTTAAATGTAGCTAATTGGAGGAAAGTTGCTTTCTGGCAAAGTTTTTATCACACAATGCAATTTAATCATTACAAATTTCAAATACAGCTAAGAACTGCAAAAATTTGCTTTGCTGCACTATGGACTGTGAATAGTAATTGTTTAGTCATCACTCAGTGTTTCAAATACAACTAAATACTGAAAAAGCCCTTAGCTGTATAGCCCCAGGAGCATTCATGCAAAATAGATATGTATTCGAAAGTTAAATGAATGTCTCAAGGTCGTGCATTAAGTGAGCAGGTGTGCAACAATATGCTGTACCCACTTCTATATTTTACTCTTTGGCATATATTAACTTTCTTGAAGTGTAGGGTGTACCACCACCCTTACCCGTATCCCCACCCCGCTCCCGGTCATCTATCCTCCAACCCCTTCATATTTTATAGCTTTTAGGATGTGTTGATAAAAAATTGTGTGAAAAGGAATCCATTGCTTGGGTGTGTGCGAAACGCTGTACATTCATGTGGCTGTAGGTGTTTCAATGAGTGATGACGAGGGGAGGAAATAAATGATCAAAGCTGGGATGTTTACCTGGCTCTAAAAGGGCTCAAAAGAACTTGAGCAGAGCTGAATGATAACAGCAGCACTTTGAAGAGTCGTCCACTACAGAAGGAAACGGAGGTCCAACCTGAGGCTTTGAAGAGCCTAACTTAGTTCGAATAAATGGCAAAATCAGGGGTGATACTAGCCCTTTTTGGGGCCCTAAGCACAAATACTCTGTGCTGCCCTCCCTTACCTGGAAATGGACAATAAGTATTTGTCAGTTTCTTTCTCTTTAGTTATGAAATAAATTCTGAGTGTTAATATTTAAAAGCAGCTGCAATTAATAGAAAGATAAATAAAATCATTAAACCTATTTTGCACAACTAATGGTTCATAGTGTACATAAGTGTAAACTAACAAAGCCAACCGATTTTAAGAGGAATTCAAATGAGGAAACAAATAAATGCATGACATGATCCACAAACATGGGGTCATTTATAGTGTTTTTGTTAATCTTGCATTTATATTTTTTGTCATTTTTCATACATTAAAAATAGTTCAGTGTTGCTTCAGTGATTGATAACTACACTGAAAATCATGCTTCACCATGTTTTTCTTTTTTTTGTTTTTCTTTTGGGGTGGTGGGGGTTTGCCTGGATGAGAAAAAAAGTTTTAAAGCGTTCTTTTTGTTTCTTCCTCTTGTTGAGGAGAGGTAGACAAGAATTGGGAAGAAAAGAGCTGTTTCCAAACTTTTTAAAAGAATTAGAACAGCTGATCAGAAAATAAAGGGGAGAAACTGGATAGTAGGAGGGAAGTCAATTAACTAAGCACATATTTTTGCAATGTGTATAATATGTGTTACACAGTTTTGTTTTAAATAGGTAGTTATTATAATTACTATAAATATGATTTTTCTCTACCAGAAAAGCCACCCTCACTTCTTGGTGCTCTAGGCACAGTGTTTGATGCATGTGGGAGGAAATGCTGGTGCG